TACCAGAATCCTGTTGTCTCTGAGACGCTTCAGCCCACACCTGTTAAAAGGAAAAACCACCTGCACCAGCTTTCCAGGGCAGATGTGGTCACCATGCTTCACATGCATGTGAGTCAGACCTTTTTATGGCTACTCTCCTCCACTGTCCAGAGCTGCCACGCACGGCCGTGAAGGCTGCACACTGCACAATTCCGCGAGTGTTGGCCACACAGAACGCAATGGGAATTGTGCCCCCTGGACCACACGGTGTGGCAGCTGCGCCAGTGTGAGCATCAGTTCCCTGGGTCCAGAGCACCTTACCTTCCCGTGTGCTCCAGACACTCAGACCTTCGGCAGTCACGCCGGCTTCGTCAAACAGCTCTTCTAATTAAGTGTGCTAATTGATCCATTAACCATGAATCCTTTTTTTGAAATGATTGCACGTGCTGGTGGAGTGGCTCAAATGGTAAGTGTACCTGCCTAGCTAGCATGAGGCCCTGAGTTCAAACCTCAATGCCGCCAAAAAAAATAAATAAAATGATTGCACCTATATTTGGTGATTTAGGGGATCTTCTGTTATAGGACCTCCCTTTTGTGTGGGGAGAACAGGGTGTATCTGGGAGGAGGGCAGTGGTCACATTTTGAACATTATCTTTACCTGGGATACATGTATAAAAGGAAAAGATGTTATTGTTGCAGGCACATCCAGAGAGACAGAAGGTAGATTAGGGCTTGCCAAGAGTCCTGGGCTTGTTTTGGAGGTGAAGAAAATCTGGAATTAGCTTGCTGTGATTGTCACCCCATCTTGCGAATGTACTAAAAACTGCTCAGCTGTGTGCTTTCAAGGGGTGAGTTTTATGGTATATGGATTATATCCCAATTATTAAAGAGTTAAGAGACACTGAATCTTACTGCCCTGAGGACATCCTGAAGCCGTTTTTTGAAAAGAAGGAGTGTTTCTGAGCTTTCTGCGTGGCTTTTTCTTTCCCCTAATGGCAGAGTGTGGGCATGGTTGTACCCTGACCCCATGAAGTTTACCTGTCCAAACTTCCCTAGGGATCCCAAGATCATCTCAGCCTGATGTCTTTTTCCAAATCATTTTTTCATTTTGGGTTTTTTGGTCATACTGGGGTTTGAACTCAGGACTTCTGATTGCTAGTCTGATGCTCTACCATACCCTTTGAATCATGCCTCCAGCCCACTCCAGATAATCTTAAGACACACACACACACACACAGACACAGCGTTTACTCCCTGTCTCTGACATGTGATGCCTTAGAGCACCTAAGGACTTTGCCAGCCAAGACTTAAGCCCTTGACCTTGGACCTCCAGAACCATAAGCCCAAATAACCTCCCTTAAAAAAATACCCAGACTGTAGTATTGTGTTATTAGCAACAGAAAATAGGGTAACACAACTCCTAAAACAAATAATTAGGGTTTGAGAATCTGACTTGAGAAGTTTTAGGATGCTCAGTTTCAACTCTCTGAGAAGGTGAAGCACCAGTGAAAACTTGTGGCTATCTTCCTTTGAAAGGAGAAATTTCATTTCAAACGATTTAAGATTTTCCCTCTTATGTACTCCCTCACTCACTGAATGCCCCAAGCCAAGGACAGAGCAGAACCTGACACTCACTCCTGTCTTTGCCTTCCCTGAGTTATGGACAAGGGCTGAGTGAGGGCCAGGAGAACAAGTCCCTGTCTGGAAGACACTGTGTGTCTGCAGCCTGGGTTGTCATTTGGAAGGATATAACTGAAGAAAGGCAATCATGAGTGAAAAGCTTTTTTATGTCTGTATGTATTTATTTTATTTGTGGTACTGTAAGACCCAAGGTCTTGCACATGTTGGGCAAGGACTCTAACATTGTTTGGGCTACCTCGATGTCAAGATACTCCTGCCTTCGCCTCCCTAGTTGCTGGGATTGCAGGTATGCACCACCACACCTGGCTTTAAAGAAAAAGAATCTTTTTTGGTGGTACTGGGATTTGAACTCAGGGTCTCGCTCGCACTTGCTAGGCAGGTGGTCTTACCACTTGAGTCATGGCCTGAGCAGAAAGCTTCTTTTATGAATAAGACATTCAAGTGCATCGTAGCAGGTGCTTATAAGGCAGTTGTCCAAGTGTGTTTAGAACTCAGTGTTAGAAAGAGATCCATTCCTGCACTACTCAGGCACGAATGAGCAGAGGGGTCCCCAAGATAAGGCGGGTCTTCCCCTCTGTCTCTCCAAGGGGCAAAGGGACCAAACACACTTATGACACTTGTTTCCAGCTAGTGTCTGATTTGACAGTCCAATCTATAGCACATTTCATGTGCCAGGGGCTTTCCCCAGCACTTACTGTGTACACTCATCTAGTCCTCACAGGAGTCTACATTACTGCTGCAGCTACTGTCCCCATTTTAAATTTGAGGGCTGGGGGTGTGAATCAAGTGCAAGGCCCTAAGTTCAAACTCCAGCACCACAAAAAACAAAAAACAGAGCAGTGTTCTTCCCAGTCACCTGGGCAGAGGCAGTGTGAGGGTGTGCAATGGCTGCTCTGATGTGGCTACCTTGGAAACCTGAATCATTGATGCTAACCCCAACCCCCAAAGGCTCTCCACAGCAGAGAATGAGGCAGCCCCACTCCAGGGCAGAACTCAACTTATTTAAGCTCCCACCAGGCCTGATACCTCTTGTATGCTCTGTACCATGCCCAGAAAAGAAAATGAATTTCCGTGATACATGAAGAGCTGAAAATGTCCAGGTCAGAACAAGCGTCTGTTTCCTCAGAGCCCTAGAGTTGAGAAACCACGGCTTCTAGTGTGAGTTTACAGGGTAATCCCATCACAAGAGGCTTTGAGTCCCTAATTGGAATCCCTAATATGGTATCATTATAAACAAGATTACATAAAAGAACTGGCCAGCTGTGGTGGCAACCATGGTAGGAACTTTCCCAGTAATTCTGTGGCCTGGGACCTTTTTTATTGTAAACTCTGACTTGGTACTTGGCTTACCATACAAGCTTAGGAAGGCCTGCCAACCTAGTTGGTCTGACAAGACTAGTGGATGTGGGAAACCACACACTTTTTTCAAAGGCCCTACGTGGAGTGGGAAGCCCATGTGCAGCTTGAGGTTCACACTTGACTGTCACAGAAGGATCAGTGACACCAGGCCCCAAAAAGCCCTGCCCACCTGAGCAAGCTGACCCTGCCTCAGGGATTTTGGTTGGAAGGAGCAACAAAAACTCCATTCAGTCACTCCAGGTCATCTCTAGAAGAGCAATACCTCTGTCAGTCAGCACCTCTTCAAACACAAGACAGGAGTCAAGAACAGGCAGGTCCCAATAGAATGACTGTATTCATTTTTGAGGACTGTGCTACATTTTAAGGCAAGTTGTCATATGTATAAAACATCAGAGATGATAGTATTTATGACAAATGTTAGAAAGAGAATGGCAGGGGAGACATTTCAGACAATCACAATGGAATTTTTCCCAGTTACCCTTGGTCCTGACTACTCAAGAGTATGCAAATCAAGGGAGACACAGCACCTTCTCCCTCTTCCAGCCTCCAATGGGAGGGTCATCTGCATGTCACACAGAAGCACCCTTCTCTAGACCATGACAGCACTCTGCTTAGCACAGACCAGGTTGGGACATGAGAGTTGACCAAAGGGTCTCACCGTCTAGCTCTGATGTCCACACTTTGTAAGAGTCCCCTTTAGAAACAGGAAAGCAGGATGCCAAAGACACATGGCTTGTAGTTTAGCTCTCCTCTAACCAAATTCAAACTTGGTTTGAATCAGATCCAAAACCATGCATAAACATGTAAGTGTAAATATACATCAGTGTGTACACAAATACATACACAGAAGCAAAAGATTTACTGAAACATGAAAAACAGGGAAGGTCCATTTGCAGTTTGGAAACCAACCATGTGATTGTTTCTGCTTTAAAAACAGAAGGTATTAGTGACAAGCTCTGGCCAGGGGTAGAAGGTTCTAGGCACCTCTCTGTTCAGTTCCCAGCCACTCCTAGCGGCGGGAGTAGGGCCCAGTTGGTTTAAAGAGAGCCCAGCTGGGTCTTCCCACTGGCCAGGTCAGTTCTATGTCTCACGTTTCCCCACCCCTTCTACTCAGGCACAGGCCTCTCTGTTTTAAAATGGTCTCTGTCCCATCTGACTATTCTTAGGGCAATGGCACATTTATCGTAAAGGCATTTCCCTGTCTGTGGGTCCAGGTGACACACAACAGGGAAAACAAGAGAATGAACAAGGCTAAGCATTTGGGGAGTTTCATTGCCTGTTGTGGGTGGCATGGCAGAAGCAGTGCCCAGGCCTGGAGGTTACAGCAAAGTCAGATTCTCAGAAATGTGGTGGAAGGGCGTCAGGAAGAGGCTGCATTGGATGCTATGGAAAGACTCCACATGGAGAACGAGCAGTATAGTGAAAGTTCTGAAGTACAGAGGACACAGCCCTGCTCAGGACAGTGGCCCTTACCAGGAGGCAGCCTTACAGAGAAAGCTGTCACTTAGGTAACACTAAGAAGCACGTGGTCCTTTCCACGGATTTGCAGCATGCCTCACCAGATCCCTCTGAGGTAGGTAAGAGGCAGGTGACATCAGTGTTAGGACTTGCCTTTGGGTCACACCATGAACACACCAACAGACTCACTAAGACAGCAGACTCTGAGGTCTCTCTAAGAGCTCCCTTCTGCTAGACTAACACTGAGGTGCCAGGTACTGGAGGAAAGTGGACCACTTCAGTGACACTTAAATGCACTGGCAGGCCAGGAGTCCACATCTGTGGAAATCAGCCCAAACCAGGGGACCTGGGAACAGGGCATCCCAACCCAATTAGTGCATGAATTTATTTTGAAGGGAGCTTGGTTTTTTAAATTTTGTTTCTGCTGCCATGCAGCACTTGACGGAGTGCCTAGACAAATTATACTAGATTGATAAACCAACGTGGGCTGTGACTGTGATGACCATAAAACATCTCCCTAGAGACCTCCCCACTCCACCCCATGCACCCAGCCTATTGCCAAATCAGAATGGATGGAGAAAAGATGAAGCACTGTTAGAGGTTCAGGCCTCAGAAGCAGAAAAGTACCACCGGATAGGGAAGGAATGGGGATACTTGTGTGTTTGTCTAAGTTTGCTTTCCCCCCATTCCCTCTCCTTTCTTTGACCTCAGAACTTAAGTGGTTTAGTTACTAGTACTGACCAAGCCCCCGCAGTGGGACACCACCTGGAGTATTTCTAACAACACTTAGGCAGGGCCTCTGGTGTCCCAGAAGCCACGTGACTAGTTGGGGCATAATTCTTTAAATACCCGAGTCCCAGCTCAGCAAATTCTAACCAAAGCTAAGAATTTGAGAATTTCTCCAATTACTGCTGTTCAGGAGGTGACGTGACAGGTGACCATAAAACCCCTCAGTGTGCCCAGAAAGCACCTGGTGCAGAGCTGACAGAGGACAATGAAGAATACATCTGTGTTTTTCCAAGTTTTACCCACAGACTCCTGCAAGCCCCAAATCTTCCCAAGCCGGCAGCTTGAGGTATTTCCAAACTAAGCCCTCACAGCTGTGCCTGGACTTGCATCAAGCCAAATGTCAGTGTCCTGGTCCTCGGTAACCAGTTTCCGCTGGGGAGCCCAATGCCTGTGCCAAGAAGTCATCCTCAACACGGTGATTGGGTCAAAGCATTGCTCGGGAGACTCAAAGTCTAATGGGGCTGGCTAATGGGGGGATGCCAGCACTGGTGGGCCAGTCCTCAGCCCAGCCCCATTATAGCACCGACTCCTTGGACTCTAGTTCTGAGGCACTGGCCACAGGGCCAGCAGGGTTGTGGTGTGCCATCAGAGGCGATGTCTCCTCCTCAGACTTGCAGTTGGGGATAGCTTCCACCTTCACCTCGCTCAGCTCCTGCTCGTCTTTCTTCGTTGACTTCTGGTTCAGGTGGTGGAGGATACCTGCACCCAAGGCATCCCCTTCCACATTCACCACGGTGGTGGTCCTGTCCCTGGCAGGGAAAGAAAAGGGCAGAAGTTATACTCGGTCGCTAACACCAGGAGCTGGAGGGGAGCCAGCCCTGTCACAGGCCGGAAAGTTGTGATTTCAGGGACCTTCTTTCCTGGGGGACATGGTGCTAAGGGACTTGGTCTAAACTGATTTTCTTCAAACATTTTCTTTATTCTTTTAAAAGTAACAGATCCTCATTGTAGAGGGCTTTTCTTACTTAGGGAAAAGAGGTATAAGGATGCAAAGAAGGTAAAGATTGGGATCCAGCCCCTCCCAGCCACCTTTCTATGCATGTCTTTTATATACAAAGGACACCATCACGTAACACTCCATTGATTAGGAGGATAGAGTAGACACAGTTTGGTGTCCAGCTGTGCTTCCCCTTGGCTTCCTCATTTCAGCCCTGCTTCACTTCTGGAAACCAGTCTCCTGTGATTCCATGGCTATTGCAAGCACTGCCTCACAGAAAAATCACACCATTCTTTCCTGAAGCTTAGTTGCCACAGGTTGGCCCAATATCAACCCTCTTTCCCTGGAGCTTGGAGAAGGTACTGTGTCCATTTTGAAGCAAGGGGAGAAAAAGGACTTTGGAAGGCTGATGCCATGGCTGTGGGACTGAAGGCCATGGGTGGCTAGAGGGCTTATGTGACCACGGGTCTGTGCTGGACAGTCAGTGGAGCCCCTATTTCCCTTCTCCGCTAAGCACCTATGAGATGTCCTTTCTTCATGTACAGAAGCATCTGGGGGAGGAAGGAAGTGGGCCTCTGACCTGTTCTGGTCCTGTTCAAGTCGCCAGCTCAGAGCTGGAGTTCCCTCCAATGAGGCGTTCAGACAACAGAGTCTTGGTTGGATGTTTCACTGTCATTTCTCAGAGGAGCCCTCAGGGTTCTGAGTAGACTCTTAAAACTAGAAGGTCTACCATTCTCAACCACCAAGGGCAGATCCAAGTGCCTGAACGTGGATTCAGGCACCTGGCTGTGACTAGCCTGGCAGGTATGTCTTTTTTTCCCTAATGTTTACTAAATACTTTCCTGTGTGTCCAGGACTCTGTGCCTGTGCTGACTCATCTAGTCTTCACTATTGAGGCGCAGCTTCTATGAAGGCTCTCACTTTACAGATGAGCAGAGCAGAGCACAGAACAGTTCACATCACACAACTATTACTGGCAAAGCAAGCTAGGACTTGAACCCAGGCGCCTGGGTTCCAGGGCTCATTTTCTTACCCATACGCTCTGCTGTTCTTCATCACTACCTCAGGTGACCTTCCCTACACAATAGGTATTATTACACCTGCCAAAGATAACAAGAGACTCCAGGAATCAACATATAGAAAGCCTTTTGTGGCTTTATAGGAGCCCTGGCCGGCGGTCTGGCTCACCCCCTTGCCTAACTCCACTTCTTAAGCCTGAGCCCAACCCTAGTCGCTTATATTAGCAGGACCAACCTTCTCCCTGTACACAGAAATCACTCCTCAGATGTATCTAAACCAGGGACAGCCAGTCCTGAAGGAGTACAGCTCAAATCATGTATTACTCTGTGCAGCCAACACCTCCTTAGGCGCTTGTGTCTCCTGGGCCCATTCTTAGGACCCTTACTTTACTGAATGCTACAATCAAGTTCTCAGCAGCAGCACCTCACAGACATTCATGGATGTTCAGGGCGCTTGACTCACATTGCTTAACTTTTCCTAGCTCTAAATCTGGCTCTGCCAGCTTAACTACAGGCTCCTTTACAAGATAAGGGTGTTTTAAGTTTCTCTGTATGCCCCAGACCTAGCAGAGTGTCATGCTCCTAGGGAACTTAACGAGACTTTGTTTTTTACAGTGTTTTTAGAACTTGCTACTTACACAATCCAGTCCACAGCCAGGATCAGAGAGAGGTCTTGAGTGGGCAGCCCAATGGCCTCCAGGATGATGGCGATGTGAGAACCCCTCCAGCTGGCACACCTGCTGCCCCAACACTAGATGCTGTGGCCGTCACTCTAGAGGATGGCAAAGCAGGGCCAGCCATTAATACAGAGCATGTAGGAAATGTAGCCATAGCACAGAAATGAAACCATGACCCCCCATAGGTTCTGGGGGCTAAGGAGCTAGATGGTCCCCTCTTCTTAAGCACAGTCATCCCACCATATCCTCAGGTTCTGCATCCAGGCACTTAACTGACACGGATCAAAAATATTTTAAAAAGTTGCATCCGTACTGAACATGTACAGACTTTTCTAGTCATTATTCCTTACACAATATAGTATAGTGAGTATTTACACAGCATTTACATTGTGTTACAAGCAATCTAGAGATGATTTAAAGTATACGGGAAATACTACCCATTTGATATATGGGACTAGAATATTTGTATGTGGCGGGGGGAATCCTTGGAACCAATGCCCTCAAGATATTGAGGAACAACTGTAATGAGTCCACACCGTCTTCATCACTTCACAAATGAGAGAGTGAGTCATAGTTGAGATTGGTTTTTCAAAGGAAATCACCAGACTCAAGTTTTGAGCCAGGCTCAAGAGAGGGAAAGAATAATGAGCTTACAGAATTGTGAAAATCTGTCCTGCATTCAGCGTCACGTTGTTGAGCTGTGCAATGAACACTGCAGCCACGCATTGGAAGATAGCTGCTCCGTCCATGTTCACAGTGGCCCCGATGGGGAGAATAAACCTGCTGATCCTCTTGTCGACACCATTGTTTTCTTCAATGCACTTTATCATAGAAGGAAGGGTTGCTGAGCTAGAAATGGAAAAAACAACCAACCAACCATAAGCATGGTCCTCCTGACCAGGCTAATATGTTACTCATCTCAGACCTGGATCAGAGCAATCAGCCCCATCTTAGTCTGTGGCTTTCCTTCCATGAAATAAAGGGAAAAAGCAGAATTGTTTCAAGGTTTCTGGGACAACAGGAGGCTTTGTCAACACTCAAAGTATTCAAAATACGACTCCCAGGATTTCCCAGCTGTACTATTTACTTGCATTCACCTGTTAGAAATTTCTCAAGAACTACACATTGCCTCAGCACAAGATGTTCCCAAGAGGATGAAGAACTGGATGTTCCACACCAGCTCCACAGTGCTCACTCAGTTCCAGTGACATGGCTCAGAGTAGCAAAGGGCACCTGAAGCCCACTCACCTTGAGCAGGTAGCAAATGCTGTTGCAAATGGTGTGAGGAGGCCCATGAGGAATGTGAATGGGTTTTTTCGTGTGAAAACAAAATAAACAAGCGGCAGAACAATTCCTCCATGAATAATATGGCCCAATATAGATGCAAAGATGTATTTCCCGAGGCTGGTCACCAGCTCGATGACGTTCTTCATCTCCACAATCTTGCTTCCGACCAAAACGTGATGCCCACAGGTACGTACCTAGGGAACAAGCAGAGGGCACTGGTCAGGACAGTGGTGAGCAGGGACTGGGAGATGCTAGCCCTTCCCAAGACAGAATACAAGGACTTTCAGCAGGGCCATTCTTCACCTTGCCCTATGATAACCCTGACCACAGAAAAGGATCAAGGTAGATCACCCCATTTTATAGGATGTGAGACTGGTCAAAACGAAGGCAATTATTCACTCTGGGTGAGTACACTTGAACTCAGACAAAGACATTCTTTTATGTTTTTTTTTTTTTGTTTTTTTGAGACAGGGTCTCACTGTGTAACCCAGGCTGGCCTTGAACTCGAGATTCTCCTGCCTCAGACTCCTGAGTGCTGGGATTACATTATGCTCAACTCTACATATGTTCTTCCTCTATTTTTTTTTCCCCCAGTATTCAGGGTTGAGCTCAGGGCTTTGCACCTGCTAGACAGGTGTTCTATTACTTGAGCCAATACACCAGCTCCACATATGTTCTTAACAGATGAATACTACCAATACAGGGGCTCCCAGGCAGAAAGGCATGGAAATCAAGTTCATAGGCCATGGGACTACGAACTTGACTTTGGCTTTGCTCAGGCTTGTTCTGAGAACTTAGAAACACGAAATACTAACATCTACTTCACAGAATTGCTGAGATACAAAGCTGGGATTTGTGTGAAGTTGTACATTCTTTGTGGTTTGGAAAACATGATCCCGTGGGAAAAAGTCATTAACAATGACACTGTGAGAACACTGCCAGAACGTGAAGATTTTTTTAAAGGCAGGAATGGCTCGTGGGAGCTACAAAACAACAAGTCAGTTGTTTTGAATTTAATATCAATTCAGGAAGTTTATAATTATTGACTCAATTTGTAAGTTTTAATTATGTAGGTGATTATGTCTCACAGTTCAAATTGCAAGGGATACAATAGGGTGAACAGTGTGAAAGTCTCTGTCATATCTGCCTCCACAAGCACCCAGAGGAGACACCAATGTCCCTAGCTTAAGTTTTCTTTCTAGAGATATAATAAGCAGTGTCATTCATTTTAAACCCCATCATCATATTCTCCCTTCAAAAAATTAAAATGTGGGCTGGAGATATAGCTCAGTGGTTAAGTGTTTACCTAGCGTGCAAAAGGTCCTGGGCTCCATTCCTAGTACTATAAAAAAAATAAAATGTTAAAGATTAGACTAAATTCCTCTGTAGGCACCATCCTCAAGCCAGAGCCCTTCTCAGACAATTGCTTCTACTTCCTATGAATTTACACAATGTAGGAATGTATTTAAATTTGCACGTTTACACTATGCCTTTGGGCTCTTTTCCTATGAGTGCTTAGAAAGCTACCCCATTCTTTTTTTTTTCATTGTGGTGAAATATACCTAAGTTACAATTTTAACCATTTTTAGGTGGACAACTCAATGAATGACATTAAGTACAATACCATTGCTGGGCCCCATTACCACCTCCCATCTCTAGAACATGAAACTCTGTACTCATTAAATAGTAACTCTCCCCCTAATTTTCCCTTCTGTGTGCTCCTGGTAACTACTGTTATCATAGACACTTGTCTGTGAATTTGATTATTGTAGGTACACAAAAGTAGAAAAGTACAATCATACATTACTTATCCTTTTTTTTTTGGTGGGAATGAAGTTTGAACTCAGGGCTTTGCACTTGCAAAGCAGATGCACTACTGCTTGAGCCACACCTCCAAGTTCATTTTGCTCTAGTTATTTTGGAGACGGAGTCTCTTGAACTATTTTCCCGGGATGGCCTCAAACCGAGATCCTCCTGATCTCAGCCTTCCAAGTAACTATGGTTACAGGTGGGAGCCACAGCCATTACTTGTTCCTTTTGTGGCTGGCTTATTTCACTTAGCATAAAGTATTCAACATGTCGTAGCATGTTTTAGAATTTCCTTCCTTTTTGAAGCTGAATATTATTCCATTTTATGCAGACTACATTGTATTTATCCACCTGTCTACTCAAAGTTTATTTTGTTTTTGGTGGTACTGGGTTTGAACTCAGAGTCTCATGCTTGTTAGACAGGAGCTCTAACCCTTGAGCTACTCCACCAGCTGCCTCCATCTACATTTGCATTGTTTCTACCTTTAGCTCATTATTTTAAAATGTTTCTTCAGAATGGAAATACCAAGGGCAGACATTTAAACTGTCGCCAGGCTTTCGTCAGCACAAACACCATTGCAAACTTACCTCTGTGCCTCTTTGTGCCCACACAAAGGGACACAAAGAAGTGGAAGTGCTGGGTTATGGGGCATTCTAAATTTCAGTGGATCCAGCTGAAGTGTTCTTCAGAGTGGCTGTTCCAAGTCCCATTCCCACCAGTGGTCAGGGGAATCCTCCTTCTCCTGCACCAGTGCTCAGTGTGCCCAGGGATTTTGGAGATGTCTGGGAGTTGGTTTTGATTATCACAACTTTTTTTTTTTTTCTTTTGGTGGTACTGGGGTTTGAACTCAGGATCACAAGGTTGCTAGGCAGGCGCTCTACCACTTGAGCCACTCCCCCAGCCCTTTTTGCTTTTAGTTATTTTTCAGGTAGGATCTGTTCTCTTTTTTTGGGTTTATTTTGCCCAGGCCAGCCTGGACCATGATCTTCCTACCTATGCCTCCCACATAGTTGGGATGGCATGTGCACACCACCATGCTCAGCTTATTAGTTGAGATGGGGGTCTCATTAACATTTTGCTTGAGCTGGCCCTGTACCACATTCCTCTCTATCTCTACTTCCTAAGTAGCTAGGATTATAGGTATGTGCAATGACACCCAGCTAGTTGTCACAATTTTGGAGGCATGGTACTAGTGGCATCTAATTGGTAGAGGCCAGGATGCAGCTAAACATCCCACACATGACAGTGACATGGTTGAAAAACTTTGTCCTCAGCCTTATCAATGACTGATTAAAACAAAAAAAAATCATTTCCCTGATTTCTAATGAGGTTGGGCATCCAACCTTCTAATATTTTTAGAGGATTCCTTTTTTTTTTTTCCTTTTCACCTTCCCTGCATAGTTAGTTTAACCCAGGAGTTGGTAGAATTTTTAAATAAAGTTTTTTTTTTCTTTTGGGCAGTACTGGAGTTTGAACTCAGGGCCTCAAGCTTGCTAGGCAGGCACTCTACCACTTGAGCCATGCCAGCCCATTTTTGTGTTGAGTATTTTTGAGATAGGGTCTCCTGAACTATTTGCCTGGGGCTGGTTCCAATCCATAATCCTCCTGATCTCTGCCTCCTGAATAGCTAAGATTATAGGCATGAGCCACCAGTACCAGGCACTAAATAAAGTTTTATTGGAACACTGTCACACTCATTTGTTTCTGAACTGTTCATGATTGCTTTTACCTCTAATGGCAGAGCAGTGTTATTGCAATAGATTATATGGGTGACCCTATGTTTTGTCTATCTAGAGGCAATTTCTGTGAATAGCAGGGTAAATAGGCAGGAGCTCCAGTTGTTTTTGTTTGGGGTTATTTTTTTATCTCTTTGTTGTGTTTTGAGACAAGGTATTCTATGTAGCCCAGGCTGATGTGGAACTCACTATGTAGCACAGAGTGGCCTTAAACTCAATCCTCCTGCTTCCACCTTCCAAGGCTCTTTCGTTTTAGGCCATCCTGGATTATACAGTGAGACTCAGTCTTAAAAACCAAAAAAACCAAACAAAACCCTTCAGGGCTGGCATGGTTCAAATGGTAGAGTGCCTGCCTAGCAAGCTCAAGGCCCTGATTTCAAACCCTGTTCCCCACCCCCTCTCCTATTCATTTTGGCAACACATTTACAAAACCCTCTAATTGTGCATCTCCTGCACTTTCTGGGCAGTAGGTATCCATTGCGGTTAGACATTCTGCAAGCTCTGCTTCACTGAACACCTGCTTATGTAACCAGGACCTCAGACTGACTGAACCACTGCACTGGTTTCCAGACTGAAAACAAATGTTCTAACCTAGGATTATCACTTTCGTGCAGAGGATTTTCTTTAGTTCAAACTTTGGGAGGATTTTAGACTCAAAAAACAAGCTAAGAAAAGAACTTTCCATCTGATGAAAAACCTTTTTCCTCTCCAAAAACACCAGAACAGCCAATGACAGAATCAGGTGGTGGAATTTTCCGATGGAGTAAGCGGAACGTTACAAAGTGGGTCTAGACTTGGCCTCTCACCTAAGTTTCAAAAACGAAGTCCAGTGACACCCAATGCCAATGGAGAAAGAAAAGTTCTGGATCTTCAAGGGTTGACAGTAAGGGAATACTTTGGGCATGAAAGCACAAACTGGTCCTCAATAACGAATTGGTAGAAGCTAAAAGTTGCAGAGGTCTGGCTTGGCTGAAATACCACAGGTGTCCTATCAAATCTTTACTTTCTCACTGGGAATCAGTCTAGGGATTATTACTGAGCAATCCTTTCATTGGTATTACACAAATAAACATTCATGAATTAAAAGTTTACTGAGTGTCCCAAGTTTTGGAGTGGAGATGGGTTTATCCTTCATGTTGTGGAAAAACTATTGAGGACTCTTCTAGAAGCATCATTTTAGGATGAATGAACCTTACTTTATGCAGCAGATAGAAAGTAATGGTTGCTTTCCAGGATGAAATGGGCTTAGAGTGGGAGCCTAGAAATGCAATTTCCCAGGGGTCAGTGTGGACACCACAGAGGTGACTGGCAGCTATGGCGCACACCCAACTCTCTGAGGTCCTAGACAAGAGGAGAAGCCATGTCTACCTCCATCCCTCCCTGTACCAAGACTCGGGGGCGATGCACCAACCACGAATAGAGCACTGGGCCAGGAGGCCCACAAGGTAACCTGGAGTGCAAAGTCAGATCTTTTCCTGGATGTCAGGCGAAATGGGAGGGAAATGAGGTGGTGGGTGACACTCACCACATAATCCACGACACCAGCACCATGGTCGCTTCGTTGAAGGAATTGAAGAAGCGGATGAGCTCTTCTCCCTCAGTGCCGAGCTTCTTTAGGGCCACTCCCAACACCAGGGCAAAAAGAACCAGCCCTAAGATGTTCATCCCTTCAATCTCGGAGGGAATGGGGGTCTGCAGATCACAGGAGGGAGAAGGGTCACCACAGGGGAGTGCAGATTTGGGGGGTGTTGGCTTGGCATCTGAAACACTGTGTCCAGAATAATAAAATACTTGTATTTTCTTTAACCTTTATTGAGGTGATGAACAAAGGGGTAGAACACTTAAGAGAATATGGAGTCTGAAGAAACAGAAAGTCAGCAAATAAAAATTTCACCTAGTCACTAACTCTGAACGAGGTCTAAAAATGGCATAGGTTAAGATAGGAAGTGGTGAGTTCTGTGTCACTAGATGTATTCCAGCAGGGATTAGACAACCATTTCAATAGATTGCTTTCCGCCCCCTGCTCTCACCCCTCTCCTTTCCTTTTTTTAGTACGGGGATTGAATCCAAGGCCTCACACATGCTAGGCAGGTGCTCTGTCACTTGAGCCAGGTCCCCAGCCCTTTTAATGCTTTAGTTATTTTTCATATAGGTTGGTCTCAGTCTGTGATCCTCCCACCTGTGCCTTCCAGTAGCTGGAATTATAGGTGTGAATCGCCATGCCCAGCTTGTTGATTGAGATGGGGAGGTCTCACTAACTTTTTGCCCAGGTTGGTCTCAAACTGCTATCTTTCTGATCTCTACCTCCCCCCATAGATGGGATTACAGGAATGTACCACTACATCCAGCTCTCCAAAGGGATGCTTGTAAAAGAAGAGCTGGCTGGTAAAGACTTCCTTCAGCTCAAGACTAAAGGACTGTAAGTTTGCCTCCTAAATGTCAACACATTTCTATTGTTAGGCTCTTATAGGGACCTCCTCGCTCACAAATTTCAGGATCAACAAGGGCTTTTTTCAGATGCTCTTTCCTAAATCCCTGATTTAAAATGTGCAGACATAATGGATCATTGATGTTTTTCAGCAATGCTGAATCTCCCTGCTGCAAGCATGGAGGGGACAAGCATTTTATTCCCAACAATACACCTTTCATGAAGTACTGACCAGAAAACACACAACATGGTCAGACTAGAAAACGTGTTCTTGCCATAGACCTGAATTCCAGTACTGGCCTGGATATTAACTGACTTCTCTTAGATTCAGGTTCTGTATCTGTGAGATGAAGTGAACTAGACCTAGTTAGTAGCTCTCAAATACTTTTTAAGTAGAATTATTCCTTTAAAGAAAACTTGGTAGAACTTGGAGCCCCTCAGCCCTAGGTGAGGGGTTCGCGTGTGGGCTGGGGAAAAGGCAGAAGTATGTCCTCTTTCCCATGACTGCCCTGTCACACAACATGACAATCACGAGGCTGAATAATCCCAGAGGCCCCTAGTTCCTTCCAGCTCTACCATGAAGGCTAGAGCCTGGCCCATGGTAAATGGTATTCAAAATGACCACAAATCTGCTTTCCACACACTTTTCTAATATCCAAATTAACTGGAGACATGGAGGTGCTGGGTATGATTCACATGAAATATAGCAAGGGCCGAGAATTCAAATTTATCATAAAAATGGATGGGGGAGCTTTTTCATCCTCTTCCAACATTTCATCACGAGACATGTCAAATCTAATAGAAAAGCGATCTGCAGGATGATGTCACCACCCGCAGTGCTTTTGTGTTGTGTATACACCTCTACACATCTGTCAGTAACATCTGTATCACTTACAGAGGAGTAGCAGTAATAATAATTAAGAAGCAATGGCTTTGGAGTCTGACCTCCACTACTTCCTAGCTGTGTGAGTTTAGGTAAGTTTCTTAATCTCCCTGTGCCTCAGTTCCCCATCTACACGGTGAGATAAAACCATAGCTGGTATATTACTGTTATGAAGATTAAATGCTACTATATGAAAATACTTAGATTATCTCTGGCAAATGAAAAGCAAACAAGAATAGCTATTAGTATTATTTTAATGCACATTCCGTGGTGATATTCTAGGCTCGCTTTATCTGTTGTGTTCTTCTCACAAGGTAATTGGAATCCCAGACAACAGTGCTTCTGAACATCGCCATCCTTTCCCGGGACCCAGTCTATTAAAGCAGCAGGGCTACAGGTTAATGAGCTGTGAGACAGAGTTGGATTTTAATGCCTCCTCTACTGCTAGCTTGTAGGGGTCACTAGGGAAGCCAACACCGCCAGGATTCTATGGGTTGCATGGCTAGCACCTGGCATTGACCTTGAGGTTGTCCACTCATTTCTTTTGTCTATGCCCTGAGTCCTAACTGGAATTGAGGGTCAAAAATCAATGCAGGCTATCTAAGTTAATTAAGTTCTGACTGATCTTTTTCTATTGTCTTCTTTTAGATTGGTTAAATACCAATACCTAAATTTTACAGGTAACAAAGCCAAACATCCTGAAAGTATGTGGACTTTTGGGAAGAGAGTATGGAGCTTAACTGTTTTATGTAAAATAAAGGCAGATTTTAATGGTGAAAAAAAAAAAAAAGAATGCAAGCAGAGAATTCATCTACTAATCAAATGCTGGTTTTAGAAGGTTTGCAATGCCAAGGTAAGGTGTGTGAGGTTGGGTGATTCCAGATAAGGAATTGATTTTCTGATTTGGGGCAATGACAGTAACTTTTCAAATGAAATGACTCCTTTCTTAGAGAAGGCTGGTGACAGGTGGGTTTAGAGCAGGTTGCAGCTGGGCTGTAATACATCTTAGTGAACTTGGCATTGGGTGGGGTTAGGAGAATAGAGGTAAGCAGTGCTACAGTCAGAGTAGCATCCTGAGCTGTGCCTCTTGCTGGTGTGCCTTTGCACATTCTGTTTCCAGTGCCCGAATCTCTTTCTCCAGGTCTCCTCATATCTCCTCCTTCACCTTATCAGAAGGCCCCCCGACCACCCACCCACCACCAGTCCCTAGTCCACACACTCCCTCCCTTTCTCTGTCTGTTTCACCCTTTTCCTCAGCATATATCTCTGGATGATATTTATTTATTATATGCTCCCTCCTCTAGCATGTGAGTTCTGCAAAGCAGGACTTTGTCTCTGTAGAATATTACATGTAGTCTGGCACCCAGGAAGGGCACACGGTGGTTGCCAAATAAATCACCAAATTAATAATTCAATGAAAGCCTAGGAGGTGTGTTATCTGAAGTAAATCATTACATGGGATGAGAACAGGCTTGGAAGACAGCCATAGGGCAGGGGCCTTTCCATTTGTGCTTCAGCCTCTGGGTCCTTGACTTCTCACTCTGATTCCTTGGGCACAAGGATGATTTCTGATATGTCTTTATATAATCTTACAGGATTTAGGATAGCTTGGAACTGTAAGGGCATACCACTTCTCTCCTGAAGCCTAACTTCGGCATTCCTGGATTAAAGGGGAGGTCAGCATTTCCAGTGGGGAAATCAGGGCAGTCACTGAATGCCATGTTTGCCAAAACCCGAAGGTATGCAGAGAGAAGCAGTATGCTCAGATTTCTCCTTCATGCCTGGTTTCGAATAGGCTTGGTTAACCTCACAAGACCATCATTTCAAGTAATTTGTAGTGGGGATAATAAATCCTACCCGATCAGACTGTCCTGAGGTTCAAATGACATGTCAAAGGAGAGTGTTAACTCCATCATATCCATAATTAGCTTTTTGAGTTTTTTTTCCTTTTTGGAGGCACTGGGGTTTGAACTCAGGGTCTCATGCTTGCTAGGCAGGTACTTTTACTGCTTGAGCCAGTCTGCCAGCTTTTTTTTTTTTTTTTTTGGTGGCAGTACTGGGGTTTGAACTCAGGGCTTTGTGCTTGCTAGGCAGGCACTCAAACGCTTGAACCACATCTCCAGCCTCCATAAATAGTTTTTACTGCATGGTTTTAATATACATTGGACTTTCCAAGGATATTGAGTTGATGTAAAACTCAAAGAAAATTCTGTTTATGTTCTGAACTTTACCAAGTGTTATTTGCCATTTAGAAAACTGTGTCACCAAGACAAAATGCTAATATCCAAGTCCAAAATGCTAGTATACCATCTACAGTCGTAGCTGTGGTAATCAGGGTGATTTTGTATACAGATACAAAAATATTTATTTAGTCCTTTCTCAAGGGAAAATGCTACTATCTTATTTATCTTATTTTAAACTTAGAGACAGGGTGTTGCGATGTTTCCTAGGGCTGAACCACTGGGCTCAAGTGATCCTTCTGCCTCAGCCTCCCGAGTAGCTGGGACTATAGGTGCATGACACTGAGCCCAGTGCAGTCTCACCACTTTTAAATTCTAATTTATTCATTCCGAGTAGATGCAAATATCCAAAAACTTCCTTAGGTTTTCTAGTATAATTGTGTACTTACATAGTGAAATATGGATTGTTTTACTGTACATTATTTTGATTTTTAAAAGTATTTGTGTAGGGGTATTTCAAATCACCTTTTGATTACATTTCAGGCTAGTAGAAAGGGTGATTCTCCAAGGATTCCAGTACTACAAGTGTGGCGTTTGGCCATATTGGTAAATAATCTAAGCAAACATAACTTATAGGCTTTATATAGTCCATTCAAACTACAATGGTTACAACCCTACTAAGAAATTAGGCTATCACCTATGTCCCTTAATTAAGTAACATTATTTGCTTTATACACTTTTTTTTTAAAGTAATCTTGTAAAGAGCTTTACCTTTTCAGAGGTCACATTTCCAAAGCTGTTATTATGGAGCGTCACTTTGTAATCAGTTGCATACTGTGATGAAGAGGAAGGAAAAAGCACCATTAATGCCCAGGTGAAGACCCATCCAGAGGAACGTCTGGTGCTATTCACACTGAGTGCTCTGGACATGCCTCACTCGGCTGGCCTGACGAGGGCCTCTGTGAACTGTACAAAAGTTACATTAAGACCAAGGCAGCCTGTCCTTCAAGAGGCCTCTGGATTATAAAAGGATCCAAGGAAAAACAGAGAATTTCTGTCTGTTCCTTGGGCAATGAGTTGGAGAAGATGCATAATTTCTTGCTGGTAGTTTGCTGTCTCCAGCAGCTGGTAGTTCATGTTATTTGAAGACCCTTGGTACTATTTCTACAATGCCAAAGTTCACTTCCCAATCTGTCACTTTGTTTTCATTCATTCATTTACGTCCCACTATGTTGCAGAATTTATCTGAGCGTGACTGTCATTAGCATCCATTTCTAGTCTGGCTAAAGCCTCCAACTTGTAAAGCAAGGGACATGAGGCAAGATGGCAGCTGTCGGCTGAGTCTTCCTGGAGACTCACCTATCAGAAACAAGACATCTGTCCAGCCTTGGTCCTACAGTTGGCTGACTTCTTACAGATCTGCAAGGTGCCCACAGGTATCTCCTGTGGTGGTCCAAGCTACTGCGTGGAATCTGTTAGAGCCCAGTCCTTCCTCACCTCACAAAGGGCACCTGGCTTCAGAACTGTCAGGAGGAGCATGCTTTGTGCCTGACTTTGGTAAGCTCTGGCTTCTCTTGGCTTTGACTTACGAAGGTTTCAAAGAGGCAGAAGTGTCCAGCTTCACTTGTCCATGATCAAGGGTGGCAGGGATACATATCCACCCCAATCTCCTTTATGACAGGTACTGAAAGCCCCATAAATCTATTTTTTTCTCCTATCTCACATTACATATAAGTCACTCCTGTGCTTATATGAAGATTAAAAAAAATGACAGCTATAAATAGAAATTAAAAAGTCTTTGCTTATAAAAGGCAATCAGATGAGACTATCTCATCTAGACCTTATATCTCTTCTCTGTGTGAAGAATGGCCTCAGGGGTGTTTATTGCTCATTGCTATTAAGGGGAAAAGGAAAAGCACCCTGAATGTCCATCAATAGAAGACAGATGGAAGAAAGTTATGTTACACTCTTATAATAGTGTATTCTTGTCATTAACATTATGCAGAAGGATTTACCTACATGGGAAAATAATTATGCTATACTGCCCTTAAAGAATAGGTTATGAAGTAGGATGTGTACATACTTACAACATGTGTAGCAGACTGATTTTTAAAACATACATACATGCATAGCAAAAAGATCTCTGAAAGATGTATACCAAAATGTTAATAATGGGTGCCATAGTCACTAGGTATTGACTATGGGTGAGTTTTGTTTTTTATACTTTTATTTTTTGCCATGAGCACATATTACTTTTATAATCGGAAAAAAAGGTGTATTTTTTTTTTAATTCCACACTATTTAAGATATACCTAAAATGTGATTTGAGGGTATTTCCTAGGCGATGAAAAAGTATTTGGGAGCCATGGGGATACTTTAGAACATTTTATTTGTTTCATTTTTCTTTTATTCCAGGTGTCCATCTATAAAAGCTTGGGTCAATGTTACCAAGTTTTGTTAATGACACCATTCTTCCTGCTCTACCTTACCTAACTCCACAGCAGTAATTTATACAACTCTTGTATCAAGGTTTCACATATTGGCAAAGACTCTAGCCTTACCGTACGAAATGCTGCAGCCACAAGATTGGAGGGAAATAGGTTTCTGTTGGAAAAGAAAACATTTCATCAGGACTCTTAAAACTTGATTTACAAACTATCTGCTTTGCAGTGCCCCATCCTAACAGCCTACCTAACTCTGTGCTGTCTCTCCCTCCTTCCCCAGCACACTGTAGCCCTCCGTCCGACCTAAGCCCCCACCAAGTGCCTCCACTGCTCCCCCTCAATTGTTGCAATAATTGAAAGAAAGTTGGAGGGGGAGTGCCAGGTCTAAGACTTTGTCCTGACAAGTACAGCAATGCCCTGGACAATGAACTGTCTCAAAGCCCTTATGGTTTCCACGTCCTGCAGGATATGTCTACAGATAAAGACCTTATTTACAGTTACCTGAGCCTGGACTAACTCCAAAACCAGAATCTTAAAGAATATGACTTGAGCCTGTACTCTTATGAACTCAGTTTTCCAGAAAGCAATGACTTTGTAAATTATGGGACAATGATTTGTTTTATTCAGAAAGTTTCCAAGAACTGTTGTCTTCCTGGAAAATCACACCACCAATGGCAAATTATAGGGTATGAGTCCTAGTGCCTCACCTCGGTATTAAGTATCAGTCCACATTTATGGCTAATTCATTAGCAGTGGTTGTGTGTGTCACACTGGGAATGGAACCCAGGGCCTTGCACATGCCAGGCAAGTGCTTCTCAACTGAGCCACAACCTCACCTCCCCTGTCCTTTTTTTTAAAACAGGGTGTTGTTGTAGCCCAGGTAGGCCAGGAATTTGCTATGTAGCTGAGGCTGGCCTTTAACTTGCAATCCTTCTGCCTTAGCCTCCCGAGTGCTGAGATTACAAGCATGTACCACCATGCCCAGCTGTACTTCTGAATTCAGGAACAAGCATCCAACTTCTTTGTTTTAAAGCATTTATGGCAATGGAGCCAACCAATCATGGACTGAAACCTCTGAAACTATGAATCAAAATAAATCCTTCCTCCCTTGGGAAAAAAAAAATAAAGCATTTATGGACTGAAATGCATTATTTCTATGATAATTATTTTTCTTTGTCTTTCATATTAGTTAAGTCATTTTGATGTTTTGAAATTATGTGTGTAGGTAAATTCCATTTATGAATTTCATTTTAGGATGAAGGATATTATAAAGCATTTGTTATGAAAAAGGGCAACAGAACTGAATGAATCCAAAAATCTATTCATACAAACAGTTTTTATCGATGTTCTCCTTTAAGTCAAATTCTATATAGGCTACTGGGCTTGACATACAAGAAGTTATATTCCAACTAACAGTCCATTTTTCCTACATACTTCCTGAAAGAAGAAGAAGAAATCCGGAGGGACAAAAGACTTACCCACTGATTCTTATTTCTGTTGTTAGGTTGCTTACCTAGCAACTATATAAATACCAGCAAGCATACACTTATATTTAAGAAAAATGGTGCTGGTGGAGTGGCTCAAATGGTAGAGGGCCTAGCAAGCATGAGGCCCTGAGTTTAAACCCTAGCCCCAGTACCACCAAAAAGAAAAAGAAAAATGGTGATCTTTGGCTGAATTAACTGTTGCAAAATTCTGATAAGAAGTTTGATTCTTAGCACAAGTATATGCACTTGCATTGGCTAGTCTCTGGTATACAGGTGAACAGTAACAGTATTTGCTTATTACTTCTATTATAAAATGACTTTCTTATCCACCTCAATCTTCTGGCCTAGGTTTGGTACTTCATTTCCATTTGCTAGCCTAGTCAGAAACAGAAAGAGCCTCGTGCCAATGTTTCCCTCCTACAATCAGCACTTGACAACTCTCACCGGTTCCCAGACCCAGCAGGGTTGTCTTTGTGAGGACAGGGAAGTTAGGAAACCTCCACCTTCCCCAAGGGGAACAATTTCTCCTGCAAATACCTTACATCTTTCAGGGATTAGCTGTTACCTCAATAGATACAAGCAGGGCCTTTCTCCACCGCCTGGCAACTGACTGTCTTCCAATGAGTACAACCCTGTTTAAACCCTTCTCTGTCCTGCCTATTTTTTGAGTCCCATGTCACCCAGAATGGTCCCTGACCCAGAACTTGTTTTCAGATGGTCTACAAGATCCAACAGAAACAGAGGATACAGACAAGACTACGGGCAAAATGGCAACTCCTGCCAAAAAAATCAAGTTCTTGAGAAGAACACAATGTATTTTGGCACCTCTTGATAAAGTTAAACATACATTTGCTATATAACCTAGCAGTTCTATTACTAAATACTTACCCAAGAAAATGAAGATATATGCCTACAAAAGGGAGCTTTAATGCATAATAGCACCAAACCCAAATGTCCATCACAGATGAAGAAATAAACCTGAACATTAAAAAAGGAATGTTTAGCTGATAAATCAGATGATGGTGACAAACCCATACTGTGGACTATCACTTGGCAATAAGGAGGGACCATCATCTACTGATATAAATGACAATATGGATTATCTTGACAACACTGTGCTGAGCAAAAGAAGCCAAAGGAAAGGGCGTACTGAATGACTCCATCAATATGAAACTCTAGAAAAAGAAAACCTAACTGATGTTATAAAAAACACACGAGCTGCCCACGCCAGGGGTGAAGGACAGAGAATGCTGGGAAGAGTGACGGGCAGGGAAACATTCAGTGGCTTGTGTTGGTAGCTCCAGGACTTACCCATTTCTCAAAACTCACTGACCTGTACACTTAACAGAAGTGCCTTTCACTATATGTAAGTCCCTCAAACTCGCTTAAAGAGTAAAAAAAGATAGACTCATAACTGTCAAGGAGAGTCTTCAACCAAAAAATATATATGCTCAAAAGGATGACAGAACTCTACTTAGATTACAGCACAGCTGTCAATCCTCTGGAAGGTGTGTGCTTTAGCTTCTCAAAACGGTGACCAAAATACCTGAGAAAACAACTCAAAGGGAGGAATTAACTATTTAGCTCAAGTTTCAAAAGGTTCAGCCCCGCATGGTGGGAAGGGAAAGGTGGAGTAGTTCACAACATGGTAGATAGGAAGTAGAGTGGAGCGGTTCCAGGAAGGGGCCAGGGAAGATAAACCCTCTGTGTCCCAGGCCCCCACCTTCCATTGTTCTACCACCTCCCAATAGTCCATTTAAATTTTTTTGGTGGGACTGGGTTTTGAACCTGAGGCTTTGTGCTTGCAAAGCAGGCACTCTACCCTTTGAGTCATACCTCAAGTCCTTTTTTTATGGGGATGGGGGGAGGGCAGTACTAGAGTTCGAACTCAGAGCTACACACTTGCTAGGTAGGTGCTCTACTGCTTGAGCCATACCAGCCCTTTTGCTGTGGTTGTTTTTGAGGTAGAGACTCACTTTTTCCTGGGCAGCCTGCCTGAACTGTAATCCTCCTAGTCTACACTTCCTACCATCACTGAGATGACGGCATATGCCATTGTATCCAGTCATTTGTTGAGATGGGGGCTCAAAAACTTTTTGCCCAGGATGGCCTTGAACTCCCAATCTCAGCCTCCCACAAAATTTTTGAACTCAAGAGATAAAAACCATGCATTAGGTCAAAGATCTAATCATCTCTAAATGCCCTCACAGACACACTTAGAGATGTGCTTTACTAATCTCAATGTAATCAAGTTGCCCCTCCAGATTGGCCACTGCAGGAAGAGTCATCTGGGGACAGTATGCTGACTCTCAGGCACCCAAAAAACTTCTCTTCCTTTCGTTTGGTTCCCTGGTTGCCACAGCCCAGAAGCAGGGATACTTCCCAGGGGCGGAACTGAGGTGACAGGAGGAAAGCACAACATTTCTCTGACTGTCCTTTGGCTTTCCCACACAGACCCTGTGGTGAGCCCTGGCTTTCCCCTACTCCAAGTTTTCCTGGACTCCAGGATCAGCTGCTCAGCAGGCCAGCATTGTTCCCACAAAGCTCTGTCTTCAGGCACTTTTCCCAACTGCTAACATCCACACAGTAACTTGGTGGGCTTGTAAAATGAGCTGGAAGGGGTTCTAGAGGTGATTCACGCAGCACATGAAGATCACAAGACCCAGATTCATGAAGCTGATCCATCTCCCATTATGCTCCACCTAGCCCAGCCCTGTCCAATAGAAATGTTTGCATTTATGCTGTCCAATGGTAGCCATGTGGCTAGTGTACATCCGTACTGGACACCACAGATGTGCAGTCTGAGATCCAGCCTGGAAGTCAGGACCACGTGGTCTTCCAAGGCTTGCCTCTGCACATCCCTCCATCTTCCTGGTGTTATAGCATTTCTTTTTTGTTTTTGTGGTACCGGGGTTTGAACTCAGTGCTTCACACTTGCCATGTGGATGCTCTACCATTGAGCAGTCCCTTCAGCCCTTTCTGCTTTGGTTATTTTGGAGATAGAGTCTTGCTTTTTGAAGAGGGCTGGCCTGGACTGCCATCCTCCTATTTGTGCTTCCTGCTGTAGCTGGGATGACAGGTGCATGCCATCACATCCGAGCTCTTTTCTATTGAGATGGGGTTTCAGGAACTTTTTTTGCCCAGACTGGCCTGGAACTACAACCCTCCCAATCTCCACTACCTGAGTAGTTAGGATTACATGTGTGAGTCACCAGTGCCTGGCTGCATTAGGTGTTTCTAACCTGGGAGTTCATCTTATTTAAGGTTGAAAATATGTCCTTTCTGTTGTCTGATCCTGATTTATCCAATACCACTTTATGTGTCAAAGCAAAGTGTCTCAAACATGAGTAGGCCACAAAATCAATTTATTGGCTCCCCACCCTCCTAGTTGTGGGGATCAAACCCAGGGCCTTGTATATGCTAGGCAAGTGCTCCACTACAAAGCTTCATCTCCAACCTTAATTTATTGGCTTTAACCAGCATCTTATAAAAGATGAAACACATCAGACAAACTGGAAAATGTCAACATGTATCACACTTATTGTTTCAGTTGGTATATGTGTGGGTGAGGGGTATACGTGTATAGACGTCATAATGTATAATACATTTCTTATTGCAGGTCAAAGTAAAAGATGTGTGAAAACAATAAGAGCTATACTATTAAATCCAGAGATTCAAGTCAGACCAAACTGGGACAGAGTGAATGGACAAACCTTTCCAGTACTGTAAGAATCTTTGGATGCATTACTTAAAACGAGAAGGAAAACAGGTATGAGGTGTGGTTGGATTCACAAATGCAGAACTCTGTTGGGGGTGCTGTCCAGATTCCCACAGCTCAGTGTGAAAAACTTCAAAACATTTCTTTTGTATACATGTGGCGATGTTTGTTCTTCTGATCCTACTATCAAGGGTGGTAAGCATTTCCCTATTCTATATGAGAAGAATGTAAAACTGCTTTTGCTTACACATATTCTCTTTGTTCTAAAAGTATTTCCTTTTGAGTTAAAAATTCTTTACTAAATCTATGAAAATTTCAAAGACTCCAGAACAGGATATGGCATGGTATATATACCTGCAAATATGTATTAGCTCTAGTGTTTATTGTTTCAGAAACCAGTTAATAAGGAAGTCTCCCTTCAGATCTTGGTACTTCCTACAAGGCTGGAAGCCAAGGAAGGGCTGTGGGCAGGAGGCTCACACTCTGAGGATGTGTGTATCTTCTTTTTAAGGCCTACATCCCAATTTTAGATTCTAGCCAGAAAGGCTAGAGTTGGACCCCTGGAGGCCTTTGGGAAAATACAGCTAAGCACAGCACTCATTCTGAGCCCTCAGCTTTCTCTGAGACAGGGACACATTAGAACATCAGCAAGGCACTCCCACATGAACTCACATAAACTGCAAAACAATTCTAGGAAGTAGGTATTACTATTATTCTCATTTCACAGATAAGGAAACTGAGGCACAGGGAAGGCTGAATAATTTGTCTACTACAGCTAGTAAGTGGTAGAGGTGGGATTTTTTTGTGTTTTTTTTTTTTAATGCTGGGATTTGAACTCAGGGCCTTTGCTTGCTAGGCAGGTGCTATACCACTTGAGCCAAGCCCTTAGCTAGAGCTGAGATTTAAATCCAGGGGCTGGCTTTAGTGCCTGCTCTTATTCACAATCCAGGGGGCCTCCCTGGGTGTATGCCTTTTTTAGTACTACTCAGTTATTCTCCTGGATGGTAGAAGCAACGGTCACTAACAAACAAAATCTAATTGTGTCCACGACATACATGGCAGCGCCCTGCTACATGATTGCAGGACAGTTGCTCTGGGCTGTCATGTCCCTGCCTTCCTCCTTTGTAGTTAAGCATCCAGTTCTCTACTTGAAAATTACAAACATTAGGGCCCAAAGGAATGTTAGAAGCCAGTTGCCTCCATCCTTTCCATTCACAATGGAAGAAAACAGATCAATTTTGGATCCCAAAATTAAGACAAGGGAAAAAGAAACTGGAAACTCAGGGAGGATTATGAGGATTTCTGCCCCACATTTACTTTTCACCATTTTCCAAATTTCCCACTGTGCAATTCTATTAGTCCATAACATAGTAACTGTTCACTTCTTCGGACACTATTTGATTCCCAATACTGCTAAAGACTACCTTAGCTTCCAGTTATCCTTTTTTTTTTTTTTTTGGTGGTACTGGAGTTTGAACTCAGGGCCTACACCTTGAGCCATTCCACCAGCTCTTTTTTGTGATGGGTTTTTTGAGATAGGGTCTCACAAACTGTTTGCCCAAGCTGGCTTCAAACCATGATCTTCCTGATCTGTGCCTCCTGAGCAGCTAGTATTACATGTGTCAGCCACCAGCGCCCGGCTAACCAATCCTTTTCTTCCCATGTAACCTCATTTATTGTTGTATGTTCCATTTATATTAAAAGGAAACATGCATTGGGTTAGACGTTTATAGACATAACACATTTAATTCTTAAAACAGGTAAGTACTATCATGATTTCTATTATGAAGATGAGAAAACCAAGGAATGGAAAGTTATGGATATGCTCCACACTGGCTGGGTGTGACAGCTCATACTTATGATCCCAGCACTCAGGAGAGATCATGAGTTCGAGGCCAGCCTGGACTACATAGAGAGAACCTGTTTCAAAAACACCAAAAACCAAAAAGAAAAAAGCTCCACAATGATTAGTTTCCCAATAACCTGTTTCTGTTATTTGGTGCCTGACCCATTTCATTTTGGATGAGAACTCATAAGCCAGTCATTTGGAGTTCAGGAAGAGTTCAGGAAGCTCTGTACAATTCCAGGTTCCCAGGGATGGAGCTATGGGCTACTCAGAAGATGAATTCTCTCACTTGCCAGTTGCTATCCGCCATTGTTTTCTCTGTGCTTCTAATACCAGCTCCTCACCCCAGCTCCTCATTCTACTTTGTTATATCTAATCCATTGTGTGTTAAGAAATCAACCATTCACTAATAACAATTCTGAATTAAACTTAAGAAAAAACACAAACAATGAATACCTATTAGCTTCATCCCTATCTGACTTGTAGTTCCATCTTTAAAATACAAATTAGCAATCATGGCAGACAGACTCAGGGAGTTCTAAGGCACTCCACCACCAGGAAAGGGTATAGACTTGTACACAAAGCCTTGGTGTCAATTACTGCCAACTCATCAGAGGCTTCCTTACTCATCCAGGTGTTTGAGTCTGGGCAGTTACCAGGCAAGGGCCAGGAGGATAATTGAGGCGTGTACTGGCAGTCTCGTTTCATTTACATGCCCACAGGCATAAAGGACTGGGCCCTGCCTGTGCCAAAGAACATGCCAACGGTCACATAAAATTGGTATCCATGAGGTTCTGTTGAAGGAAGCAATTATTAAAAATGGGCCCAGAAAATCCCCAGATCCAGGAAGCACTTCCAGGAGGCTTAAACCTTGGTTTGCTCTCACAAGCCACTCACCATGAAACCTAACCTGACCAGGTGCATGCATACTCTCTGCCTCTTAAGGGACCCAGCCTAACTGCCTGGCTGGAGGAAGCAGGCATCTACCCTGACCTAGGTGTAGCTTACCTGGTTCCTCTTTTGGTCCAAAGCAAACATTTCTCAGACAGTGACACTAGACCAGGAACGTGACATCATTCCTGTAATACATTGACTTGTGAAGAGAACAGGAGAAATAGAGCCTGAACTGTGGGGCAGAAAACCTAGTTCTCCTAATCCCTCTTTTGATAAGTCACTCCGTGACCTTGAGCAAATCACTAAATTTCTCTGTCTCAGTTTTCTCAGCTGTAAAATAGCATCATACCACCTGTGCCCTGCCTTTATCCGTGAGCTGCTGGATTAAATGAAGCTGGCAGTTGGGAGCATGATGAAACACTATCTATCGTAGCAAGCCAGGGCAAAGACTCTTTTAGCAATCCCATGCAGGTGTGGCCCAAGTCACTGAGAAATTGTACCTACACTGACCTCTAAGCCGTGACACTGGGTTACCATTCACTTCAGAAACAAGAGCTGAAGGGGCTTGGATCTAAAACCAAACCAGGAAACAAGAGGTCCTTCCTGGGGCTGGTGGTAAAGAGGTATGCTCCCCTATCAGCCCCTGCCCCCAGGTTTTGGCCAGTCCTTCTTTCGGAGACAGAAGAACACTATTATGACTCCTGGCGAGTGATCACTAGTAAGGCAGAGCTGACAACAATACTCCCTCCCTGGCCACAGATATCTGCAAGAAGGAGTCTTTGGGCCCCCATCATTGCCTCCCTCCCTGCAAAAACTGATACCTGAACATAAGCCAAAGGTGCTCTCAACTTCAGCAGACTTTTTTTTCCCATACCCACCTAAAAGTTCTCAAACTTTAAAAGTCTTGGAAGACTCCAAATACTAAGCAGCCAGACAGAACAAAAACTATGAGCCCATCAAAGTCCTTAAAGGCCATCCCTACCTGCCCTTTTGGCAATCCTCATCAGAATTTTGTTTTTGTTTTGATTTTTTCAATAGAGATGTCCTGGATTTTTGTTTTTTGTTATTTTGGGTGAACAATCTTTCTTAAGTGACAGACAGTCATCACATTTTCCACATGGAGAAATGGAAACAGGAGAAAGCCAAGTCACTTTGCCCAGAGTTTGGTGTTTTTCACAGTCTCAGCAATGAGAGCTCTGCCTCAGTGACTCAAGACAAAACTACCTCCAAAGCTCAGAATCTAGAATTAGCAGAAAGCAGGAAAGGGAGCCAGCTGGACTCCTCACTCAAATGAGCCTGGCTAGATCGGTAAACGTCTGCAGTTTGCTGTTTCCCCATCTGTGAACTTTGGATTAATGACGAAACCAAGAGAGGTGAGCCTTTGGAAACTACTGCATCATATCATCTCAAGGGATGTCATGCAACTTCTAAGAACCACAAAAAGCAAGCAAAGCTGAGTGAAGATGTGTCTCTCTTCCAACCCTCTAGAACTCACACCTTCCCAGGAAGAAAGCCCCTTGAAACTCACAATACTCTGTAGTGATTGACCAGAGTGGCAGAGTGGACAGTAACCCCTCCCAAGCCACCAAGAGTCATATTTCTGGGCAATGGGCCTCACACAATTAACTTCAGCCCTATTATCCTTGGGTCCATCTATAACTCTCCAGAAACTGCTGCTTCCTTTGCAGCTCAAGGAAGGAATCAGAAAAGGCAACAGATTGCAAGCTCTAGGGCCCTACAGGCAAAATGAACCAATGGTCCCAGAAGCTTTGGGGCACTGAGGAGAGATAATGGAGATATCCGGCCCTGGGAATTTTTTTTTTTTTTTTAAACTAGTGAGGGCAACCAGAGAGTGTAAGGAGTAAAGTTCAGATGGGATGTCAGACACCCACACCTAACAGACTGGTTCTTGCTAAAAGATACAGCCCTGTTCTTTGACACTGATCAGTGCGCCCTAGTTGCTTGCAAATAATGTGGTCAACATGCAAAGACTCCAGACATTATTTTGATATTGACAAAACGCTAAAGGTCACTAGCACCCAACCACGAATTAACTTTAGGATATACCAACTCGCATTACACGGCATTAGAGAGTTGGCGTCTCCCACTGCGCCTCTGGCGAGATGGAGAGCATTACCTGATCAGATCGAGAAAAGAGTCCACCGTCTCTTTGGGGACCGGTGGAGGTCCCGACTCTTCCAGTCCCAGGTCACTGGTCTGAGCGCCGGACCCTGGCTTAATGATGAACGCCAAAGCGACGGCGAGCGCCGACGCACTCAGCGTGGTGAGACCAAAATAGGCGACGGCGATGCCACCCAGACGCCCGAGGGAGCTGGCGTCCAGAGAGGCGGCGCCGGACACCAGGCTGCAGACCACCAGCGGCAGGATGATCATGCGCAGCATGCGGAGCAGCATCTCTCCGGGAAAGGCCAGGTAGGTGACCTGCGTGCGGCTCAGCTGGAACTGGCGCAGCGCCGCGCCCAGCCCGGCGCCCGCTAGAACCCCAGACACGGTGAGCAGAACCAGCACGTGGCGCCTCAGGAAGCCAGCGCAACGCCGCGCGCGTCCCTCAGCTGTTCCGGGTGCGCCCGACCCCGCCACAGGCCCCGCCTGGGCGCCGCCGTCGAGGTAGCCGTTGGTCTCGCTGCTCTTCTCCATGGCGTTGCCCGCCGCTCCAAACTCGAGTTCTGAGTGGAGATGGGCTCCCAATGAATGGATCGGGCTGAGCTGCGAGCTATGCCTCGCAGATTCTGGGAACCGATCGCGGGGGTCTTCCAACCCAGTGCAGCAGCAGAATGGAGAAGGGCGAGGAGAGGTGAAGAAACTGGGTTGGGGGGTCCTGGGCAGAGGGGATCGTGCCGCGCCCAGACTTCTCAGAGCAGTCGCGGGCTGGAGATGATGCAACGAGAAAGGCGAGCTGGAGGAAACAGAGAGAGGAGGGCGGGAGCAAAATCTTCCGGGGCCCGCCCACGTCCCACCCGTCGCCCCGCCCCCCAGGGCCTTTGGCCAATCAGAGCGCGGGAGTCCTGCCGCGGGCGCGAGGCGTCCTTCTGCCCCTGGTGTCCAGTGGTGGGCGGGGGGAGCGGCCTGGCTGGGCCTCTCCGGTGGAGCGGCGGGAGGCCGCCGGCCTGCTAACAGAAGCCGGTTCCTGGCCACCGCCGGAGGTGCGGCCTGAGGAAAGGCCCTGGGTTCGTCGGCGCCCGCCGGGGCCTCTCTGGGCCAGCCGGGACCAGGGCTCTCGGGGTCCGAGAGCCTAGAGAATGTGGAACGCCGGGGCGTTCTATATCCAGGGGGCCGAGGGAGGAAAGGGGTTCCCTCCAGGGTTGGTGCTTTCGCCCCGCGCGTGACCCCCGTTAAGTCCAGGGCGGTAAAGCGCGCCATGGTGCCCTGCACAGGCCCTGGCGAGAAAGGTGGATGGAGGGACGGACGGGTGGATGAGGAAAGCCGTTATCACACGCTCATAAAGGGCTACAGCGAAGCTCTAGCCATAAGGGGACTCGTGTGGACGCCAAATCCAGCGCCGGGCCGCGCCATCGTGCGCCCTGGGGCTCGTGCCTGGGGGCTGCCCTGAGGGTCCCTCGGTCGCCCGGCCGGCCGCTGTCTGCGGTAGGCGGGCAGAAGACGCAAACTCTTCCGGGAGAACCGGAGCCCTCAGGCCACCACTTGCAGTTGCGTTTCTGCCAGGTAACCTCAGCTGAAACCCAAGTCACTGGATTGTAACCTCTTCCTCCCCCTGCCCCGGTCCTGCGCTTTGGTCAGCCTGCAAGGTGATTCCTTATTCACGTTCCATTGAGTTCCTTTTTCTTTCATCTGTATTCAATATCTGCTCTGGCCACGGCAGATATAAGGGAAACCTTTGCAGAATCGTTTTACAGTGGCATATTTATTTTTCTGTTTTCTCATTCTGCTTTCAAAAACAGTTGTTACTGTCAGAAGTCCGAGGAAGGGAAGTCTTCCCTAACTAACCTAAATTAAGGAGGAAGGCAATTTACCTCTTGCAGAAAAACTGATCCTAAAACATGTCATGACAGATATTTGTGCAAATCAAGATGCCTTCCTAAGCAACTTTAAGGAGCTGTCCAAATCTCGAGACTCTGAATTGTTTGACGCCAGTCAGCTACTGGCTGGAGCTTGTACGGGGTTTTGGTGGGAGGTGGGAAGATGCATCAGGTGAAGAACTGTACGTATTTTTAATCTGGTTTACCAGAACGCGGTTTATGTCTCTGAGCAAGTGATTCCCACAGACGCATGCTCTGTTTGCCCATCAGCTCCTCCCTTCGCTTCAACTACCTCTTTTATGCAAAAGACAAATCCTGCTCCAAAAACGACTTCCGGCAGCCTGCTTTACATCTCCACGCGGGCAGCCTGCATCTCAGCTCAACGTATTCAAAACCAGATTCATGGTTGCCTTCCTCAAGTCTGCTCTTCCATCTGACTCCCCTGTTTCTGTCACAGATGGCCCAGTCACCTCTGTGTGAAATTTTAAAGTGACCTTTGAGTCTACTTTCGTCTGATCAGTTGGCAAGTCCCATAGACACTCCTTTCGCAATATTTATCACACATCCCTCTTCTCCATTCCCACTGCTACCACCCTGCCAGTTCTTATTTCCTCACTTCGTATCTGGACTATTGGAATGCACACTTACCTGGCAGGGGTATACCTTGATCACACTAGTGGTTTTCCAAGGAGAGGCTTATCCATTGCACTCCAGAAGTGTTGACCCCTGTGATTTCCCCAAATATGGGAAACCCAACTGCATGGTCTGTGGTAGTGCATTTGGGGGAAGGGAGGGGAATGTTCTCCTAATCAGTCTTCCCACCTGTATCTTGTCTTGGTTGTCCCAGAATAATCATCCAGGAAAAGAGAAGGAGCAACATGGGCATGCAAGTTCCCTCTAAGAATACTTCCTAAGAATTGCCTACATTATTTCCTTTATGAGAAGAGACTCAATCTTTATTCTGCAAGGCACACACCCAGCTAAAAATTGAAGCCGATGTTACTAAAGAAGCATAGAAGAGCTGCACGTGGTGCCACTCAGGAGGAGGCAGGAGGATCATGAGCTCAAGGCCAGTGAGACCCTGTCTCAAATATAAAATAAAATTAAATTAATTTTTAAAAAAGCATACAAGATTGGTATTAGAGAACAAGTCCTTCGTATCACTTCTTCTTCAAAAGTTTTCATTGACTCCCACAGAATTGTGACTGTTTCTCAGACACCAAAACAATGAAGGAGAGGAATGAAAAACAGATCATGCTAAGGGGAGGGCACTAATGGGACAAGGAGGGTAAAAGAAGGAAGTAAAGGAGGTGAATATGATTGATGTACTGTCTATACAAGACTGAATATAGAATTTTTAAACCTGTTGAAATCACCATTAGAAGGGGACTAAAGCAGAAAGGAGAAAAATGGAGGGGATGAACCAATTCATCATGAAACTCCCTGTATAGTGATCTTAAACAAAACTGTCTCTTTTTCAGAAATGGTCTCTAAACTGAAGAGACCCCCCTCAGAGTGGGAGAAAATATTTGCCAGCTACACATCAGACAAAGGACTGATAACCAGAATATATAGGGAACTTAAAAAACTAAATTCTCCCAAAATTAATGAACCAATAAAGAAATGGGCAAGTGAACTAAAAACTTTCTCAAAAGAAGAAATTCAAATGGCCAAAAAACACATGAAAAAATGCTCACCATCTCTAGCAATAAAGGAAATGCAAATTAAAAGCACACTAAGATTCCACCTCACCCCTGTTAGAATAGCCATCATCAGCAACACCACCAACAACAGGTGTTGGCGAGGATGCAGGGAAAAAGGAACCCTCTTACACTGCTGGTGGGAATGTAAACTAGTACAACCACTGGAAAAAAGTTTGGAGGCTACTTAAAAAGCTAAACATTGATTTACCATATGATCCAGCAATACCACTCTTGGGGATATACCCAAAAGAATGTGACTCAGTTACTCCAGAGGCACCTGCACACTCATGTTTATTGCAGCACTATTCACAATAGCCAAGTTATGGAAACAGCCAAGATGCCCCAGTACTGACGAATGGATTAAGAAAATGTGGTATCTATACACAATGGAATTTTATGCAGTCACGAAGAAGAACGAAATGTTATCATTCGCTGGTAAATGGATGGAATTGGAGAACATCATTCTGAGTGAGGTTAGCCTGGCCCAAAAGACCAAAAATCGTATGTTCTCCCTCATATGTGGACATTAGATCAAGGGCAAACACAACCAGGGGATTGGACTTTGATCACATGATAAAGCAAGAGCACACAAGGGAGATATGAGGATAGGTAAGACACCTAAAAAACTAGATAGCATTTGTTGTCCTCAATGCAGAGAAACTAAAGCAGATACCTTAAAGCAACTGAGGCCAATAGGAAAAGGGGACCAGGAACTAGAGAAAAGGTTAGATCAAGACGAATTAACCTAAAAGGTGACACACATGCACAGGAAATCAATGTGAGTCAACTCCCTGTATAGCTATCCTTATCTCAACTAGCAAAAACCCTTGGTCCTTCCTATTATTGCTTATACTCTCTCTTCAACAAAATTAGAAATAAGGGCAAAATAGTTTCTGCCGGTAGTGAGGGGTTAGGGGGAAAGAGTGAGGGGGTGGGGGTGGGGGAAGGGAGGGAGTGGGGGAAGGGGGGAGAAATGACCCAAACATTGTATGCACATATGAATTAAATAAAAATGAAAAAGAATAAAAATGTCTCTTTTTTCAAAAATGGAGAACAAGAAGACAAAATAGGTCCTGTCTAGGGGTTAGTACCAGTAGGAGGGGCATGGGATGTAAGAAAAGGGTTTAGAAGGGAGAATATGGTGGAAATATGTACTCATGTATGAAAATGGAAAAATGACACCGTTGAAACTATTCTAAGAATAGGAGGGAGGATAAAGGAGACTGGTGGAAGGGGTGAATTTAACTAAGATGTATTGTAAGTACTTTTGTAAATATCACAATGTAACCCCCAGTACAACAATAATATGATAACTCTAAGTGTGTTCCTCACCCTGGCATTCACAACCTCATTTTATTCGTCAGCCTTGGACCCTCTATGCAACAAAAATGAGACTGTGTGCTAGTCCCACTTTTTCTTTCTTCTTCTCTTCCTTCACCTTGCCTTATCCAGACCCAGTTCAGATAACACAGTCCTCCCATAGACTTCCCCCACCCATAATGGGATTTGAACCCAAGGCCTCGTGCTTGCATAGTTCAAGTGCTCTGCCACTTGAACTATGCCCCTAGCCTAAAGGACATCCGTTTTTCCCTCCCACAGTCTTTCTGAATCCCCCTTGCTCCAGCTCTACTTGCCCATAATTTTTTGTACTGACATAAAACAACCACCGCACCAACACATAATGGCACAAAACAACAGTTATTTTCTTTGTTCATGATTTTGTAGGCCAGAGTTTCAGACAGCATATTGGAATGTTTCTGCCCCATGGTGACCAAAGGCCTAGCTGAGATGACTCAACAGCTAGGAAGGTTGGAAACAGCTCAGCTAGGGTCATGTGCCTGCAACCTTGGTTCTGGCTATGCTGTAGGACCCTCCGTTCTGTCCTACGTCAGATATACTGAAGCTGAATACTCAAGGTGGCGCTTTCATTTCATGACTGGTACCTGGGCTAGAATGACTGGAACACTGCTGCTGGCTG